GGGGGGGGGGAAGCACCTCTTGGCCCCTGCGGGGGCTCCTCTCGCCGGCCTCGGAGGGGGCGGCCACAAACTACCGGCCCTTGGGAAATGCCCTTGTCGGGAGCCGGGCTCTGACAGCCCCGGGGAGCCGCGGGAGGACGGGAGCCGTCCCCGGTTGGCGCTCGGAGAGCGTTCCGCTTTTCCTCGGCAAGGCCTAGCACAGGAGTCCGGCTTGTGTGAGATTGTATATGGGGGTTTGAGGAGTTGGCTTTTTTTTTTTTTTTTTTTTTGCTTTTTTTTGAGCGTGGATTTTCTAGAAAACTTCTCGGATTTTGAACTGTTTGTGTGAAGTTGACTATTGAGAGGAGGGGTTGTCACGCGTGTGGTGCTGCTGTGGACAACCATGGGAGGGCTGGACTTCACTGTTGATCATTGATTGCTCTTTTGCCAGCTACGAAAGGCAGCAGCTTGGCCTTAAGAGAAAAAAAGAAACCCTTTATCATGGTTTGTTTTTTTTTTTTTTTTTTTTTTTTTGGTGGGAGTGTCTTTTGAAGGGAATAAAATCTTGTGAAGGTGTTCTAATATCTGCAGAGCTGGGAAGAAACCTGACATGTGCCTGCCCTTCCCACTTATTTCATCTGCCACGGTTTTCTGATCCTTCCCCTTAAAATACGGCAAGCAAGAATCTGTTTAGTCAGCAAAAAAAGCGTTACTTATGGCACATTGGATTTTTAGTTTTTTTTCTTTAACAAAAAATGTGTTGCTGACAGCTAGGCTCTTGGAGTCAAAGTTCTGTGCTAAAGTTATGTAAATGTGGAAAAAAGCAGTCAAATAGTGACAGTTCATGTAATACTGAAGTTGGTGCGTGGTCTTTGAGTAGTAGGTTGGTAATCTGTCTTGCATATCATAATTTTTATGCTCTTGATTATTATTTTTTTTTTTGTAAGAGTTTAGTAAGATAGACATACTCTCTAAGCTTCTGAGGTAGTCTGAAATGTTTGCTCTCTGTGATGTTTCTGAATGACCAGTAGTTGTTAGAAAGGGCTGTATTGAAGGAGAAGTGTATTGGATGGCTGAGTTCCCTTGGCTGGAAAGGTGGGAAGAATGGTGATGCTGATTTTTACTCCCTTTTTAAATATAGACAATTACTTAATGAGTTTGACAGAGTATATGACACCTCTGGTATGTAGCTGGTTGGTAGCCCAAGGAGTCTGATCAAAGTTCCCTGCTTCTTGATGAACAGAAAAGAACTTTTATTTAAGAGTTTCCCAAATACCGTTTAGTAGAATGGGGTTTTGTGTGCTTCTGGGTATCATTGTTTGAAACCTGAATAAATCCACTTGATGGGTTGGGGTTTTCTTTCTTAGAATTAACTATAGTCTTCTGGTTAGTGGAAGCTACCTAAGATAGCTGAATGCAAGTGGCTGTATGACTCATGAGCTGGCAGGGTACAGGACCTCACTGAGATCAGTTGACAATTTCTAGCATGCATTTGCACTCTGAAATTCGGAGTGCCTGAGAGGATGCTTCCTTAGAGCTTCTGCATGCTGATTGTTACTCGACTGGAGTGAGGCATGTGTATAATCAATACACTCGATTCTCTTCCCGCGTACACAACTTTTACATCAGGATAGCCCTATTGATTTCGGTGGTTTTGTTCTTCATGAGCGTGACCGTGCAAGCTCAGTGGGAATGATACCCACTTGTAATTTACTGGAGATTGAATTGCATTGCTACATTCAACTCAATTATATCCATGATACAGAATACCTATTCTGACTTACTTCTAATGCCAAAAAAAGCCCCCCAAAAGCAAAATCACAAAACAGGCAAAATAAAAGTATTCAAATTTGACCTCCTCTCCCTGGGTGCGTGTGTGCACACCCACACCCATGTGCACCCCCTGGCTTCAAACAGCCTTTGGTAATAGCCTGCTCAGTTAAGAGTGGTGTGAAGTTTTACTGAGCCTACTGGATAGGCTTTTATGCCTCTTACACAGCTTATCGAATGTTATAGAAGTGGGCTGAAGTGGTCAAATGCTGAGGCTTGTTTTCTGCAATTTTAGAGGGGGAATGTTTGCCAGAAAAATTCCAAAAGAAGCAGAACCAGGGGGAGAGGGGGGCGGGGAGGTGGAGGAGCCCAAAACCCCCCAAAATCAACAGAACAAACTACTGGCTTGTGAAAGGGTAGTTGTACTAAAGTTTCCCTGCAGAATCGGGCATGCTTTATTTTGAACAAAGATAGTAGTTTTGCCTGTGTATTTTGACATAATTAAAGACTTGCTTGCACACTGATGTAATTGACTGTTTGCTTTAAATGCTTAGCAAAAAGGTTATCGAAAGATGAATAGTAAATAAGGCCATGCATTAGGATAAAACAATGAGCCCTATATTGCTGTTCTCGGGTATTTGAATTGGGAACAAGGGCACTTTGCTCACCACAGTGTGGGAAGACAATGTGAATTAATTACTCGTTACTGTTTTCCAGTGCTGCATATTAGCTTGTACACGGGTGGTACCAAATCATAGATTTTTGTCGATAAATGAGTATAACAAGTCTGGTAGCATCTATTGAAATGTGAAGAATTTATCTGTGAAATATATAGCAACGTGATTGAAGGAGACTGCTCAGTCCTTGTCTTGTTCTGAGGTTACTTAGAAGTTGCAGTACTGTTGTTGGCAACGGTTTAGACTTACCATAACTTCTCTTATCACCTTGGTATCTATGGTGATATCAAACTTGTGACCCATGATTACTTTAATTAAAGTGTTTGGTTTGAAACAGGAATGCTTTGTTCTAGTTCAGATTGGCTTTCCAGATCTTCAGAATGGAATTATTTGTCTTTCTTCGTGTGTGAAAATAGGAACTGAACAAAGGCATTCTATTTTCTGAAAGGATTGAAGAGGTGTATGTGGTGGATACTTTATCATGTTCCTGTAGAGTGTTTCCTATATACTAATATCTATCCTCAGTATTTTCACTGGGGTATCCTATAAGGGATTTAAAAAATTGTGTATAGTTAATGGTGCTTTCCAAGTGAGACACCCCAATTTGTACTAGGAAAATTGTTTTTATGAAGTGGAATTTATTTGTGCCTTTACTAGATCCAACTTGAATCATCCTCTTTAGTCACTGACTCCAGGTTGGATATACAATAGTGATGGAAGAGAGGAAGGATCATTAGAAATCACTTTATCAGATCATGCTTGCAAATCTGATTCTTAGATGCAGGAGCGTTTGGGAATGTGGCGCTGAAACGTGGGCTCTGCCAAGTGCTGGAATTTCAAGCAGCTGGGGCTTAATTTTGAGGGGGAGAAAGGTGTTAGTGGAACTGCATCTGCTTCTAGGTGATGACTCTTGACTGTGTCAAGCTTTCACACCTGAAATAGGTGTTGGCATAAACTATTCTTATCACAGATAGTCTGCAAGCTTTGGGCTGAAACAGCACAACCAAACTAAACCTTGCCCACAAATGTTAAACTGCTCAAGTATCCTGTCCCTAGATGGGAAAGGCAAAGATGCAGAGGTTACATGCATGTTTTGAACATGATTCTTGATAGCCTAGGAAGCCTGTGATGTGGACCTGTATTTGGAAACTCAGAGGGTTCGTGTTGGGTTTCTAGAACGTTCTTCAAAACCTCTTAAAAAATAATATCTTAAAAAATAGGAGGTTCTCAGTTGACTATCAGATTGCAGGGGTGAGAAAAATAATCATCTGCTGTCTGACCAGTTGTCTTACATAGTATAAATGATAGACGAGTCGCTTAGTTCAGTTGTGGGCCTGTATCAAGGGTGGCCAAAATTCTTTGTGATAAAAGATAAGTAATGAGCTTCTTAATATGAAAAAGAAATTCATAATGGAGGCAGAAAATTATTGTCAGGTTTCTTTAAAATATTAAGATGACTATCTATTTCTGACTGATTAAGGCAAGGATATAGGTTTCCCGTATCTATAAGCACCAGGTCTGCCCTGGCATTTTTGTCAGTGACCCTTAGAGGATAAGGTAGACATTTTCCTGCAGCTGTTTTAAATATCTTTTCAGTTTTGAAAGTGAAATACGTGAATGTGTTCATGTTGCCTTTTTGCCCACCTTTAGGCTAGAACCCTCTAACTTGCTGTTGGATCCTCCCCTGCAAGGTCCCTGTCACTTGTACGCTGGTGATTCAGAAGGTCATAGTGCTTCGGCACAGTGTCTCACAAGTGTTGAAGTCAGATGATGACTATGGATATCTGCAGTGGTTTTGTCAGTTCATGTCTCAGGAGTGTGAAATAAGAGCTGGGTGACGGGGGGAAAGAAGAACCCGGTCTCCATCTGTGTGCAAGGCACATCAGAGGGAAAGTAACCTAGCAGCTGATTAGGTTAAAAAATGATACACTGTGCAAATGGAATTTAACATTCAGAAGTGTCTACTAAATAACTGTATTATTTAACAAGCCAATTATGGTTCTTTGCTTCCAAACATGACCAATGAACTAATTTGCCTGAGGAGATTGCAATGGGGTAGCAATAACCAGGCTGTTACCACAGTGCCTTGGTACTGCACAGTTGCTGAATACATCCTCTATCACACCATTGCATTTCAGCTGTTCCTAAAACAACAAAAAAAAATGTTTAACCGTGTGAGCGTAAAAAGAAAATAGAAGCTTAAATGGTGTTCATCCTTTTAGTTGGTAAGCAAGATGTCTTTTGCCTTGAGGAGGAAGCTATAGGATTATGTTTCATTGCTTTGCTACCAAGTGCACCTTCCGAGTTCCTTTTTGCACTCCTTATTTTCCACAGGGGAAAACTGATTGAATAACAGTGTGTCCTCTCTGCTCTGTAACAGAGGAGGAGAATGGCTTGGAGACATAGGGATCTAGAAGTGGAGTAAGATGGCTAAAATCAAGAACAACTGAGACAGAAATACTGACAGGGCTTCTTGGGTTGAGAGTTAAGATGGTCATCTTATAAAGCTGGGTGTTTTCAGAGATGTCAGCTGGAGCTAGAGACTGTTCTAGAAATGCATGAAATAGTCTTGCGAAACAGATTCAGCCATAGTTTGTCATTGATCTGTTACGCAGAATCTGTAGTTACTAGTTTTATCCCAGTAATCTGGCTTCTTCCTGCTTCAGTTAAGTACTTTGGCTTGATATTCTTTAAACTTCTGGTTATTTCACCAGTAGAAATATGTTTTAGGTGGTAGTCAAAAGTTATGGCAGGCTAAAATACTGAACTTTCACTGATCTTTAAAAAAAAAATAATGTTTGATGTACTTACTTTGAAGTGCAGAAGTGAATCCAGTTAAATATGTGTATTGCCTGTCTATAGGGCATGAGAGAAGTGCAGATGGAGGGACACTGAACATGAACATTTGTTTGGGTATATCCTAAACAGGTACATAGATACTTAGTCTAATTTGAGTTGTTCTATCCCAATGTAATGGGCATAGAAGGGTGTTAGAGGGGGTATCTGTGGTGTCTTTAACAAATCAGTATTTTACAGCTCTATAAGACAGATTAATATTGGATGTAGCTATTGCAGCAACTGGTAGTGCATGTTTTTGTGAAGATACAGTGGTTAACTAGTTGACATGCATTCACATCTTTGATAGTTTTCAGAAGACACAGCTAAAATCATATTCCAAGTTCCTTACAGAAAGCTGCATTAGATTATAAAAATAGTGCTAAACGCACACTGAAGGAGAATGCCTTTTATTTGAGTCTGCTGTACTCTCAAGTGGTTTTAAGGGACAAAACAAAGCAGGTCAGATAGTATATAGCAGTTAATTTCCTTTTCCTGACTGGCTCCATGGTTCTGTCCGTAATTAGCTTGCATGGGTGGCATCCAGATTAGCTTGGCATGGGCATAAACGGCACGGAGTTACCGGGCTTTATTTGTACTGTACTTCTCCAGAAGTGTCACCAGAACTTCAGGATTGTGTCTCTGTGTTTTGCTTTGCTTTGGATGAAGTGTGTTTGATTCTCTGATGCTTCATGAGAGGAAAAAGAGGAAATAATTAGTTGTAGCAGGCACCAGGACTTGCTTGAGGGCTGAAAACATCGAGCAGTCAACTTGCCCCGTTTGCAGTGAGGATATTGGTTTGCTTGTCAGCCTCAGTGAAAGTTTGCTTGGACTTTAACCTCCAAACTTTGAGCTGCCTAGTTCGGGTTGGTAGGGCATCACAAATAAACTTGTGATAAATTTGTGCATAGAAGACACTAGTATAAGTTCTCCCAAACTTCTTCCGAAGAAGGGGAGTGATTTCTGTTTTGTTCTTGCAATGAGTTTATAACGTCATAGGATGGTCTGGATACTAAAGAGCTACTGAAGTCTGCTGCTACTTTGTAAAAGTATTTGACTTTTGGTGTCAACCAGGTCTTCTATCTTGAAGGACGTTAGCCTGACATAACACTTCAAGGTAAATGTTTTATATATTGGGTTTTTTAGTCTGTTTTGGTGCAAATTAGTTTTTAAAACTGAAGGTATGTGCTGCTGTAGAGATAGTTTTTTGGTATAGGAAAATTTGATTTTCTTAATATTTTTTTTCGTTTTAATTTCCCCATAACTGTCAATATGTTAGGGGATACTTTCTCTTATTTTCTACTGTATCAAAGCAATCTCTTGATAGTTTTTCATGTTTTACTCCATTATCCTGTGGAATTGAGTAGGTCTGGAATTGGCTTTTGTTGGTGGGCTTTTGGGAAGGCGCTGAAGGGGACTTTTGGTCTGGCCCTGCAATAACAAGAAAGCATTGTGGGGGCCTTTATGCTCGGGAAGGAAAGAAGGGTTTATGGAATGTATACGAAATTTCCCCGTTGACTCATGCATCTGATCTGAGGCAGGAAATGAAAACTTGTTTCTGTTATGAATGTCATCAAAAAGTCAAACTGGAAGTTCTGGGCCACTATTGAAGTGGCTACATTGAAGGCAGCTGATCTCATTCTAGTCTGCAGCGTGGAGAAGGCATTGATTTTTAGCTTTGCAGAAGTTCTATGCTCTTCTGAGCTTCGCTATGTCTTTTCTGTCTGTGTAGGCATTGCTAAGTATCTTTGCTCAAGCTTTGCTCTTTGGAAGAACAAATTGTTGCCAAATTGGAGGTTTATTGACTTGAATTTGTAACTCCTGCAGGTGCTGTGAAACTTAACCATATAATCCTTGCTTAAGGTAAATTCTGTTGATTTCTTTAAAGCACTGGTAAAGACTGAATGGTCGTGTGGTGAATGGAAAACTAGATTAGAAGAAAAAAAATGTCCAAATAGTAAGTTTCGTAGTTTAATGCTGCAGACAGTGTTTTCTTATTAACACTCCTGTCTTTGCAGTGTTGGAGTCTATTTTCCTCTTTCACCATGGAACATATACATGAACTGCTATTTGATCTGGTAGATCAGATTAAACCCCAAACTAGTGGTAACATTTCTAGAAATAGCTCGGTGGCAAACATTAAACGCAGGCATTACAAACTGAATATAAATTTGTCCTTAGTATATTTCTTTTATCTGCATATGTCCTGTCGTTTCTTTCCTAACTTAAGTTATTGAGTAATGAACAATGTTATTTCCTGTTTAGAAATTAAAAAAAATAGAGAGGAAAACATGGCCTTCTTTGTTTTATGCCTTATGGTTTGGGGCTTTTCCTTTTTTGTTTTAATTGGGGAAACACGATTTCTGTCCTATCACCTTGTATTTCTGTTCCTTAAGTGCCACCTGTAACATAAAACTTCCTGATATTTTTGTAAATACTTCGACTTTGCAAGCCCTTTGTGTATGAAGTGATTTGCAGAATCGGCTCCCCATGAACAGGGTAGGAAAAGTAGTGCAGCGACAAGTTTATTGATGTTTAGCTGAGTAGTTACAGCCATAGGTATGTCTGTTGTCCTAGGTACATTTGAGGGTGCGAAACAGGGTTGGTGCTGGTGTGAGCATTGTCCTGAAGAATATAGGTGGATGTTTCTGTTCTCTGTCGTCTTTGTGTCTCTTTGGTTTCTGTTATAAAATAGCAAGAGAAGAGAGAAAACATTGTGTCTTGGCGTATGCTGAGTCTGAAATTGAATAGAGGGCAACAGCAGGTCTTCCACCTGATTTCACCACAGTCCTTAAGCACAAATCCATAGGAGGAGCTCTGGACCAGATAAAATAGCAGTGTCTTAACTGGCATGCAGATCAAAGCTCTGAGTGATCCCTGGGTGCTGTTTACGTAGTAGAGTGGGAAAGAGCTTAGGCTGGCCTCTGCCACAGAAGGAAGGAACCCCTTGGGAGGGAGACACTCTGTTTAGGTTTTTTGTGTTCTTTCAAATCTGTGTAGAAGTGTTGAAAAACTTTAATTTTATGGGCAGGTGCTGAAGCCCATTAGCAGTTATTTTTAATTTTCTTGTTCCTCCGTGACGCTTCTGTTGGAGGTCAAGGAAGTCTGAAGACTCTGCAGTAAAGATAAATAGTCCTAGGGTAAGTATCTGCCACTCTTCTGATAGACTTGCTTGGTTACTGACTGCTGGTGAGATCCAAAGTGGGTATGGTGGAGGTTAGTCTTGAAGAGGTTCAGGGAATTAAATATTTAGGTGTTGTTTCAGGAAAAGTGCATTATCTTTCAAATGCAGCCAGCATTCATAGGATTATTCCACTTCGTTCCTTATTTGTGTTCGAGTAGATATGCAACTTCTGCTTTTTTTTTTTCCTCACCCAGTGTGTCCTGTGTTTTTCATGCTGTAACTGTATGGATGTCTTTTTGCTCTTGACAATTAGTGTGGAAAGCTGGAAGTGCAGTGTATACAGCAATAATGAGTTTGTGCTGAGATGCCGCTTAATAACTTATATGCCGTTTTGATCTTCAGTATGTACTGAATTCAGTGTTTTGTGTATTTCAGATGATAAAAAAGACATTGACCATGAAACAGTGGTGGAAGAGCAGATCATTGGAGAGAATTCTCCTCCAGATTACTCAGAGTACATGACAGGGAAGAAACTTCCTCCTGGTGGAATACCTGGCATTGACCTCTCAGACCCCAAACAACTGGCTGAATTTGCTAGGTAAGTAGGAAGAAAGGATTTTTAAACTAAAATCTTTTTCTCTTCACTGGTTTAGTTACAAAACTGTTAGAAAAAATAAATGGTAGATTTAATATGGCTTATTGTTCCATTTGATCATCCTGTAAAAAGTCTTAATTCAGACCAGATTAGCTGATACTGTGGTAAAATAACTGGCATTTATGTTCAGCAATGACTCCTTCAGTGACTTCTGTTACGTCTTGTTGGGTAAGACGATGACCTAAATGCATTGATAGACTGCATCTTTGACATGACAGAACATACCTTTTGTGTGAGTAGCCTCAGATTTTTCAGCACCAAAGGATCTGATAAGTGAAATGCTGCATTCAGGTTTTTCAGTCCAAGAAAGCCAGACTACAGTATTCAGTGTGCAAAGCCACTTACTGTTCTTTTTCCCCTGCTTCTTACTTCTTAAGCTGTAGGTTTTAAAACCTCTTTTTAATGGAGTCAAGTGTCTTGCACTTTCAAGTGCCACTGATAATTGCAGTTTCACAACTGGTAACTACACCGCCTGGGTTTTCCTCTAGTGAATCAGAATTTGAGCTCGTTTACATATCAATACCCGAGTTACAAGGTGACTTTTACTTTCAAATAGAGGTGAAGTGACAGAAGCTGTGTTTTACGGAGGAGCACTCAATGTGGTGTGACTTTTCCCCCCACCCCTCCCTTCCCAGAGCCCCTGGCTCTGCTGGTGGCCACCAGAGGGCAAATGTGAGGTCACCAGAGAAGTCTGCTTGGCACCTGGAAGCTTTGACATGAGGGTGGCCCTTCAAGCATTTACTTGGTCCCCTTCTTCACCTGAGTGTGTGCTTGTAATTACCAAAAGAATATGCCTCCACTCAGTGCATGGGCAGCGTTAATGCTGGTGTCTCCAAATATTTGAGCACAACTCTTAGCTTCCTGCAGCTGCTATAATCACTTTTTCTCATGTTGAAAGCAAAATGTGTGTATGAAGCTACACTCATTTTCATAATTTTCATAATTTTTCTATTACCAGCTGGCTGTTCTTCAGAGTTCTGGTGTGAAATTCTGACACTTAGAGCAGGTGGATGGTCAAATGTTGTTACTCTTACTTAGTGGGTGAGCTAGTAGAGGGAATAGTACGCACTTTTCTATACCACTGGGGTTTTCATCTCGTTGCTCAATGGCAGGGACTGTTGAGACACACGTTCTGGTCTGGCTTCTTGGTGTCCAGTATATACATCTACTCTTGTTTCACCTTTCTGATCTTGATGCTTTTTACAAACTTTTCCTGTTACTCTTCAGCGTGTTTGTGCTGGAGGATTGCCAGCACAGCCTCATCCCACACTTATTTTCAGTAAAGCCATTGAACTATGGATTTTGAAGGCTCCTAGTAAGATAGTTTTGCTCCTCACTTCAGGTTATCTGATCTGGAACTGTATAAAAGCACATCATGAAGAACTGAAAACAGGGTTTTATGTAAAAAAGTGGTGTGTAGTTCTAGCTATCGATACTATTGTTACTTATTTTACTTTTGTTCACAAAATGATTGTGTTTTCACCGAGACCTGTTTAAAGGTTAATACAATTTTTTGTGAAAGCAAATGTTTAAGTGATACTCTGTAAATAGACACTAAATGTTACTTAGACATTTCTGCTCATCGTGTGCTTAGAATGATATTCTCAGTTACTTTAAAACATGCTGAAACCTTTGGTTCTAATAAATGTTTAAGTAGTGAATAGATATCTTTTGTTAGGAAGTTTAAATAGTTTCTCATAGGGTGTTCTCTGTGCAGATACGGAATATTTTTCTCCAGATTGATTTGAATACTTGAAATGATTGCCAGGATTTGGGCTCTTTGAAATGACCAGATTGCTCCTATGAGATCTGTCTGCATATTTCTTAATATTGTAAAATGTACTGGACCTTTGCATTTTAGTTAGTTTTCTCTTGTGAAAACAGTGGCAGCTGGCAGTAATTGAAAATTATCACTTTTTTTTATTCATGGTAGAATGTTCTAGTAAGTTCTAGAGCTAGAATTTGTAGCAGATGATGGAAAGATTGAGTTCGATGTGTACAGTCTCTTTTCTGTTAACCTATTTCTGTACAGCAGATAAAATGTAATCCACTTCAGTCAGAAAACAAATATGTGGTGGTACAGTAAGCAACCTGGGGGGGGACATCAGCTTTAGCAATATCCCCAAGTTGCCCAAAACCTATGCAGAACTGTTCTGATAGCTTAATTGTAGATACGTGAAAACTTGAAGCATCTTCTGTTTTAGGAAAGGGGTTTTGATTTCTTGGTCAGAATTGATGACTGTCTAACTTTTTCACTTGTGCCTTAGGGGGAAAAAAATGAAAAAGAGGAAAATGAAAAATAAAACTGTGTTAGTTGTATGTTAGATCCTAAAGGATTATGTATGGCTAAGGCTGAGGAATATGGGAGTATTAGACTTTGGATATTGCTTATTAAGGTCGTTATCCTCTTGCAGTGAATCATGTTGAAGTGACTTCTTTTAGCTAGTAATGTGAATTGGAACATTGATATCTATTTTTTACTGATCAGTTGTCTTGTTGATTTAGATAGCTGTGTGCAGTATCACTAGAAACCTTGCATGGCAACCTGGGAGTAAAAACTGAGTTTACATGTACAGAAATTGAGTTTGGAGGTTCCAGGAATACAGTTATTCGTGCTAAAAGAATGTGTTTATTTATTGTAAAGTTCTGTAGAAGTTTCAACCATTGCTGGTTGCCTTACAATTCAGAATTTTGAAATTCTCAGCTGTATTTGGAAAACTTTAAGCAGAACATGAAGTTGAAACTGTTACTTTTAAACTTATTGTTTCATGTGCTGAGTAGCATTTTGAATAACAAATTTGTATTTTGATGACTTGAAAAAAGAATTATGCACAATCCACGTGAACGGGGGTAGTAAAATTGTATGCCAAGTGTGTTCTGTGCAGTTGAGAGCAAGTTATTTTGGGTTGCTTTCCTGTTTTCGTTAAGGTAGGTGGAAGAATCTCACTATACATCTGTAGAAATCAGCTCAAAACCAGACTAGATTCACTGTTTATAACCATGCAGCTTATTTTGATTAAGGAGAAAGTGACTAAGACATTTACATTGATTCTTAGGAACAAAGTTCTGAAGTTTAAACAGGAAAACCTGGAATTCTAGTCGTAACAAATTCCAGACAAGATCTGATCGTGGTCTAGTTAGTGAGATGTAAGGCAAGGGCGGGCTTAGTGCTTGAAGTCCTCAGCAGCTCTGCAGGCCTTTAAAAAAAACATATAGAAAAAATTAAAACTGTACAAATTGAGTATCTGCAGGGGACAGCAGTGCTGCTCAGTGGCTAGGTGGCACTAGCAGAGTGAGCAGTTACACTGTCTCTTGCGATACCATTGTCTTTCGACGCTTTTTTTAGTGCATTTGTCATTGAGTCATGTAGAAGGAATCCGGATCCTTAAACTGGAACTCTTACAGCTTTTCCTGGAAATGCTTTTATACATTCTAAAACTATTGAAAACGCTGTGAATAAACAAACTGTGTCAGAACATTAAGATGTGTTTGGTAATGTATGACCAATGGAATGACTGTAAATTATACCTGGTTGGGCAATTGATCGCCTTTCTACAAATTATTTTGTTCTATTGTAGGTCTTCTGCATTTTTGCTAGTATGCTTTAAAAATGCAATTAAAAAAAATGAAAAAAAATGTGGATTTCTCTTAAGCAATCATATCAGAATGTGGAACATTAGTTGTGAATTATCTACTCAGGAAAAAAAAAATCTAATAAATTACCTCTTTCCCATTTGATACCTTTGACTGGGACACTGGAAATCCCTTCAAGTGAAATAAAATATTTCAACCAAGTCTAAATTGGTGACAAGTAATTCTGTAGTTAGCTATGAAGAAACCATAACTGCTTGGTAATAAAAGTTCAGGGAAGTAGCAGGAATTTTTCTAGTTGGTGCATATGGCACATTTCCTCAAACAGAGCCACTAAAAAGCACATCCTGGATATGCTCGCTCTTCCTTCTGCCCTCCAGACAGGTACATGACTGAACTGGCTAAAGACAGCAGAAGAGAGACATCAGTAAAATTAAGAAATAAGAGGGGAATCTGCTGTAGCTGGGAAATTGGTACGGTAATGGGTCCTAGTGGTAAAAACTCCATGGCTTTATCTTCTGCTCTTAGTACCTTTTCTGAAGGAGACCATTTGTGAGCACTGCCCACACTTTCTATCTGCTTTCCAAAACGGATAGAAAATGAAGGAGAGGAAACTGCATTAAAGTTAGGAATTGGGCACACTTCTTAGAAGTGGCAAGGCATTCTGATCACCTAGATTTATAACTTAGGCCTCTTTGTAAGTTACACACTTTTGTACTGGTTTTGTACTTGTTACAGCGTAGCTTAAAGGACAGTAAATTGCCAAATTGCTTTACCCAAAGTGGACTTCTGGGGGAAGGAAAATCTCATGCTCTGTACCACACTGCAAAGGTCTCTCTGTTTACACGCTTGATAGTCTTCATAACTGGAACAAAACTAGTAATTATTTTTTGCCAGAATCTTGCCAGAGAAAGAAAACTTTTTGTGACACTTCCTACCTGTGACCAGAGCATGGTAAGAAAATAGCTGTGGGTTGTAGATAGATTCCTAGGACACCCTGCACCGCTCCCCTTTTGTCTATTTATCCAAAAGCCAGTCTGGCCAGTTTCAGGAGTCTTCAGCACAAAGGAATTATTGCAGCAGCATAGGGCCATGACATTCATCTTATTTCTGCCTCAGCAGAAGTACAAGGAGAGTGGCAGAGGGAGGAAACAGATCAGAAGTGGCAGTGACACTGCTGATAATAATTTCCTCCTTTTCTAACTATTCTTAGGGATGTGGTCATCAGCACAAGTGAATATCACTGCTGGTCATCAGAGACCCCCAGAATGTGTCAGAGGAGGTGCCTGAGAGAGAGTAATGCTGTTTAGGTTAGATTTGCATAAAGAGGGGGAAGAAAAGATGTGAGAACA